TGCCCTGCCCTTACCTGTGCCCCCCTTGCCCCTGCCCCCTGCTTGTGCCCATCGCCCGTACCCCCCCGTGCCCCTGCCTGTGCCCCTGCCCTTACCTGTGCCCCCCTGCCCGTGCCCCTGCCTGTGCCCCTGCCCTTACCTGTGCCCCCCTGCCCGTGCCCCTGCCTGTGCCCCTGCCCTTACCTGTGCCCCCCTGCCCGTGCCCCTGCCTGTGCCCCTGCCCTTACCTGTGCCCCCCTGCCCGTGCCCCTGCCTGTGCCCCTGCCCTTACCTGTGCCCCCCTGCCCGTGCCCCTGCCTGTGCCCCTGCCCTTACCTGTGCCCCCCTGCCCGTGCCCCTGCCTGTGCCCCTGCCCTTACCTGTGCCCCCCTGCCCGTGCCCCTGCCTGTGCCCCTGCCCTTACCTGTGCCCCCCTGCCCGTGCCCCTGCCATGCCCCACAGAACCCCAGGCAGGGCTGCAACTGTACCTCTCCCGTGCACCCCCCATCTCCCCCCGTGCTGCACCAGGAGATGTTCCCAGCCCTGGCCCTGTGCCTGGCAGTGCCCACCTCAGAGCCAGTACTGGGATGTGCCCACAGCGGCCATAGGAGCCCCTGACCCAGCCATCAGGGCTGTCTCCCTGTCCAGGCACCCCACCTGAGCTCTGGGCACCCCACCTGAGCTGCAGGCACCAGAGGACACAGCTTCCCCTGGGGCTCTCCCAGCCCGGGCCCCTGTCCCATGGCGGGCAGCCATGGGCATGGTGCCTGCTCGCTGAGGGCACGGCTGTGCACACAGGCATGGGGCCAGGCAGAGCTGCTCCCTCCAGGGTGGAAGGCTCTCGCCATGCGTTTCAGCAGGTGTCGCCTGCATCTCCTTGTGCAGGTGATCACCGGGGGACACTACGACGTAGACTGCTATGTGGAGGACCCCAATGGCAGGATGATCTACAAGGAGACCAAGAAGCAGTACGACAGCTTCCCGCACCGCACTGAAGTCAAGGGCGTCTACACCTTCTGCTTCAGCAACGAGTTCTCCACCTTCTCCCACAAAACCGTCTACTTCGACTTCCAGGTGGGCGATGAGCCACCGATCCTGCCCGACATGAGCAACCGTGTCACTGCCCTGACACAGGTGGGTCACTGCATGCTGCCACGGGAGGAAGGTCATGCCGTAGCTCCCGCTTGTGGCCAAACAGCCCCACAGGATGGCAGTTAGGGGCTTGTCCACCTTCCCCTCTGCCAAATGCAGAAGTGCCAACTGCCAGCCAACCGCTCTGCTGTGTGCAGGCCACGTCCTCCTCCCAGCAGCATGGGCAGAGAGGGACAGGGAGGGCTGCTCTGGGTCTGAACCTCCCCCCAGCCTGAGCACCCAGTTTCCATCCCGCACAAGGGAAGTGCAGCAAAGCTTTTCCATCCCTTGGTGTGAGCGCACAGGGATGGCTGCACCCTGGGCTGGGACCCAGACCCTGCCCTTGGCCCCCAGCGCCTCAGCAGGTCTCTCAGTTGTGCCACAGTGCTCACAGCAGGCTCCATCCACCAGCCAGTCTCCAGTGTTGCCCCTTTGAGCAGAACCGCTCTTGGGTCGGGGTTGGCAGAGACCCAGCAGCACAGGGCGCTGCTGTCCTGCTCTCGGGTGCCCCAGCACAGTCCTCAGCTCCCTTGGCCACAAGTGCCAGGCCCGAGCTGTGCTGCGTCAGGAGTAATGGAGCATGCTTGTCTCCCCAGATGGAGTCCGCCTGCATCACCATCCACGAGGCTCTGAACACGGTGATCGACTCCCAGACTCACTACCGCCTGCGGGAAGCGCAGGACCGGAGCAGAGCTGAAGACCTCAACGGACGGGTCTCGTACTGGTCGGTCGGGGAAACCCTCATCCTCTTTGTGGTCAGCATTGGGCAAGTGATGCTGCTTAAAAGCTTCTTCACCGAGAAGAGACCCGGCAGCGGCAGTGCCAGCACCTAAAGCCGCAGCTGTTCTGTGCCCAAACTGCAGGGGGGAGCGGGCAGGCAGCGTTCTCCTGGGTCACGCTTTACCTCTGTTTTTCACAAGGTGCTGCTGTGGGGAGGTGGCTGGGGGGGAGCAGGGGATGATGTAACATTGCTGAGCCAGATGGAAAATGGTCACTCAAGCACCTGCATCCCCTGGCCAATCCCCCCAGCATCACCTTCCGCTTTGCCTTCGCCTGCCCTGCGGCCCCGTCCCCTCACCCGGCCAGTCTGTCCCCGCTCACCAGCTCCACCGGGGAAGCGGGTGGGCATGCTGGGGTTTGGCATCAACACTCTGGCCCCTTGTCTGACACCTGGTGCACCTTCAGAGCTCAATGTAACTGTAAGGTGCAGCCTGGCATCCGGCAAGGCCACGCACTGTCCATGCACACCCAGCAGGGCAGGGAGCTCTGCCCAGGCTGGTGAGGGGATGGGGCAACGCTGACCCACCCAGTGCCCACCTCCCGAGCGCTCCTGCACTGAGCCAAGTGCTGTTAGCCTGGAGGAGAGCTGCCCTGTGGGCTGTGGGCTCTGTGCCTGCAGGCAGAGGAGGGGTGAGCACAGCTCCTCTTTTTTCCCCGGGGCAGGCAGGGCGCTCCCTGCAGCAGGGCCAAAGCTGGCAGCAGCATCCCAGGAGCCACCGGCTCAAAAACGGAGGTGAGGTTTCAGCAGGGGCTTTTTGCTTGGTGATTTCCTTTGCTTTGCGGCTTGCAGAGCCCTGTCCTCACAGCGAAGCATTTCCCAGGCCCTTCTCTGCTGCAGGAGCAAGTGGCATGCCCCATACAAGATGGTATTTTCATACTTATATGAGTCCATGCCTGGGTCTGTACCCAGTAGACAGCGGGAGCAGGCACAGCTCGGCCCCACCCGTGCTAAGGAAGGCCCATCCCTGACCCAGCAGCAGCAAGGATGCCCCACACCCCTGGGACTGCAGCCACGTTCCCTGGAGCCCCACAAAGCAGAAACCCCTGCAAGAGCCCTGGGGAGACCAGTGTGCCAGCTGCCACAGCCGCCAGCCCTCAAGCAGGTGCGGGATCACTCCTCCAGAGCCAGAGCAGCACCGCTGGCATTTTACTTTGCCACTTCGTAATAAACCCCTGTGACTGTGGTTCGCGCTGCCGTTATTGGGCACCGCTCCCAGGATGGACAGCCAGGTATGGCCACAGCCACTGCCGAGCTGACCGTCCCTGCCTGCAACAGGCCCTGCCTGTTCCTGCCTCATCAGGCACTTGACCCCCCAGCACTCTGCAGACAGGCTCAGCACCCGCCAGGGTGATGCCAGTCTCCCTCCTGGCCCTTGGCAGACTCCTGTTGAGGAGGAGACGTTTTGGTGCAGCCAGTTACCGCAGCCCTCCCCTGCTGCCTGCCTGTGCAGCCCTGCCATGCACCGGCTGAGCATGCTCCTGGCACAGGACCAGATGCCAGAGCCAGGGAGACCCCGGTGGCAGGAGCAGCTCTCCCAGCCATCCCCTTGCTGACGCAGCCAGCTCATGCACGAGGCTGTGCTGTCAGCGGGGGCTTCCCCGGGGCTACAGGCAAATTCTTAGGTCTGGGTCCTGCCTGGTAGCGGGGACCAAAGCGGGCAAGGGAGCCTAGTGACCCACTGCAGCAAAGCAGGGAGCCCTGGGCAGATGCTGTCTGGAGTCGGCCTCTTGCTTCAGTCCTGGCTCCAGCAAACCCCAGCTCTGCTGGTAACACTTCCCTGAGGCCAGGGGGATGCCAGGGCATTTCCCATGAGCCACTCCTCACCCCTGGCATTGCTCCCGGTGCCACGGGGAGGGCTTAGACCAGCTGCTGCGGGGCGCAGGGGGGAAGTGAGGGGCCCAGGCACCCACAGCCCCTGCTCGAGGCCCAGGGCTGCAGCCCCATCCTCACCTCCCCAGCCTTTCCTGGCTCCCGTGGCAGCGCTGGCCTTGGGGCAGTTGCCGCGCAGCCAGGAGCAGCCAGGCCCCTATGCCTCTCAATGACCTTCATCAGGAGCCGAGAGCTCCTGTTTCGAGCGGAGCCGCCAGCGGGTGCAAGGCTGCTGCAAGCAGCATGGCGCCCTGGGACTGCTGCCAGCTCAGCTCCACGGGCAGGGACCAGCCATGCATCCCACCGGGGCCAGGAGCCCCACAGGGACAAACAGCCCCAGCAGCCACTGTAGAGAGGGCAGCACCCAACCCTGGCCAATGTGCGGGACACCCTTGGAGCTGCCCCTCCCTGGGGGCCCTGGGACCACCCAATGGCAGGGACAAGAGCAGCCAGGACCGGCTCCGGACCAGCCACCCCCAGGGCCAGTGGGTTGGGCCTCCCACGCAGTCCGTCCCCAGCAGCACTGGCTCTGGGGATCCCAGCACTGGCCCAGCTCATGGCTGGGGACACAGGCAGCACAGGAGGTGGCTGTGGGACACTTTATTGCTGTGCTGGGCTCTGCTCCAGCAGCTCTGCAGGGTTTGGCAGGCACAGAGAGCGGAGAGGGGACCGAGGGGCTCACACCGGCCCTGCAGCCTGCAGAGGCGCTTTGGGGCATGGGAAAAGAGTGGCAGCAGCCCTGTCCCTGCTAGGCCCATCCTGCCCTCGCTGTACTGCTGCTGGTCTCCTCCCACCCACAGCCTCGGTGCCTGCTGAACACCCCGGGGCATCCCCATGGGCACGGGGCCGTGCCTGGCTCACAGGGAGCTGCTCTGGCAGGAGCCAGCCCCAGCGGGCAGCCCCGGCTCGGCAGGCACCCGCCACCCCCGCACCCCTGGGATGCCCCGCTTGGGTGGCAGGGAGGAGGCCGAGCAGCGGAAGGAGCCGGTGGCCGGGGAGGGTGGCTGGGGCTCGGGGCTGTGCCCGCAGGGGCAGCCCCAGCCCCTCCGGAAGGGGATGGTGAAGAGCCCATAGGTGATGGGGTCCAGGCACGCATTGAAGAGGCCAAAGATGAAGAGGATGTGGGTGAGGGCCGGCGAGACCCTCTTATCCATGGCCCGTGGGCAGAACCAGTACCACAGCCCCAGCAGGTAGTAGGGGGTCCAGCAGAGGATGAAGGAGGAGACGATGACCAGGCTCATCTTCAGCATGCGCAGCCGTGCCCGCGGGATGTTGTTCCTGGAGCACCGCAGCGACACATCTCGGGAGGAGACTGAGAGGGGGCATGGCCCATGAGTGGGGGACGCTTAGCAGCCTGGCTGGGACAGGGACCCCATGCTCTGAGGGAGGGCTGGGGGGGTCCCTGCACAGCCCCAGCCAGGGCTCCCCCCTGCTCCCTCCCTCCCAGGGTCCCTGCAAAGGTCCCCGGGCATGGGGACATGGCAGCCTGGTGCCCAGGCACTCACAGAGGCTCGAGCCCATGCGCCGGGAGATCTCCAGGAGGATGCGTGTGTAGCAGCAGACCATGATAAGCAGCGGCAGCAGGAAGAGGCAGGCAAAGCCGAGCATGTTGTAGAGGGTCTCATGCCAGGGCTGGGGGAAGCTGCCCCGCGTGGTGCACTGAGTGAAGTTGTGCGGTGGGTGGAGGGTGACCGTGCGGAATAGGAACAGCTGGAGGCAGAGCAGAGGTGGGACGGCGGTCCCCTCCCCGGGGCCGCAGGGTGACGGGGGCTCCATGCCTCCCAAAGGAAGGGCACCAGGGTCCCGAGCCACGGACCACTGGAGCCACAGGGTCAGACCCTGCCCGCGGGAGTGGGACCTGCAGTGCCAGCTCTGCTCTGTGCTCCTGGGGGGGGGGTGAGGCACACAGTGGGGAGGGGGGCAGAGCTGGGTGGAGGGGACACGCTGCCACAGCCCCACCTTCGCTGCCCAGCTCAGCTGCCTCTCCTCCAAGCCCTCTCCATCCCCATTCTGCAGGGCTCACGGCAGCACCAGCCCTGGGAGCAACCCCAGCTGGCATAGCCGGGTACCCTGGGAGCCGACACAGGGGCCGGGCAGGTGTCTGCTGCGGGGCACGGGGCCAGAGAGGAGCCCTGGGGACGGGTACCTGCGGCACCGAGAGCCCTGCGCTGAGGAGCCAGGCAATGTAGAGCATGATGCGGTTCCTCTTCCGGGCACGGGCGATGGCCAGCGGGTGCAGGATGGCAGCCTGCCGGTCCAGGCTGATGACGACGGTGACGAAGGCAGAGGCGTACATGGCCAGCAGCCGGAGGTACATGAGGAGGCGGCAGGCCAGGTCGCCCGCCCGCCACTGCAGCGTGATGTTCCAGATGGCATCCAGCGGCATCACCGCCACCGTCACCAGCAGGTCAGCGGCGGCCAGGTGCAGCAGCAGCAAGCGGATGTGGGAGCGCCGGCCGCTCCGTCGGCCCCCCGCCACCCGCAGCACTGCCAGGTTGCAACCGGCGGAGAGGGCGAAGAGGGCGAAGGTGACGGCCACACGGGCCTGGGCAGCAGGGGAGAAGGTGGGCAGCCGCAGGGGCTCCTCGCCGCCCTCGGCCTGGGGGCTCCAGGCGCAGCCCCGCTCCAGGGGGGGCAGGCTGCCAGGGGGCTCCACGCTGGTGTTCCCCACTGCAGGGTCTGGGTCCAGATGGCCCCTTCCTGCC